TAACCAGTTTGATGAAAATATTTCAAATTGTATATGAAAACACTACACTGTACCCCATGTTTGCATTAATGTACACAGCTATCATTTAATAAAAAAAGAAAAAATTACTATATTAATTTTAATATAGAGAAAATCTGTCTCAATAGGTATAGACACAATATTTGATAAATTTGAGTATCCATTCATGAAAAAACTCTAAGCAAATGGGAAATAGAAGGGAACATATTCAATGTGATAAATCATGTCTGTGAAAAACCTACAACTAACATCATATTTGATGAAGGACTGAATGTTTTCTGCCAGTCATTGGGACCAAAGCAATGATATCTTTGCTCTCTATTTCTATAAAACATTGTACAGGAGTCATAACCAATGTAATAAGTCAAGACAAATAAAAGGAATTAATATTAAAAGTATAGAAGAAAAACCAAATTAATTTGTAAGTAACATGTTCATATAAATTATAATGAGTTTATTTAAAAGCTGATAAAACCAGTAAGTGTATCAGTATCACAGGAGAGATGACTATTCAAAAACCAATAATACTTATGTATATTCACAGTGAAAAAAAATGGAAAATGAAATTAATAGTCAACTCATTTCAAATGTTAGGAATACATCCCTGAAACCTGAACAACACTTGTACATCAAAAAGGCTTGTACACTAAAGAATATTGTTGAAAAATTCAGTTCCTGATTAAAAGAGCATTTTTAATATGACAGTTCTCTCCATATTGGTCCATTGGTACAATGCAATTTCAATCAGTATCCCAGTAGTATTATTATTGAAAATGACCAGTTGATTCTAAATTTACATAGAAATGCAAAGGACCTAGAAGAGAATAGCCAAACAATTTTATAGAACAATGGAAAAGGATATTAAGACTTACAATAAAGCTACGATAAACAAGACAGCATAGCACTGCCATAAAGATAGATGGCTAGAACAAAGAAGACACTTAAAAAATAGACACAAACGTATGGTCAGCTGATTTACAGCAAAGATGCCTAGGGAATTAATGGAGAATGCAGAATTTTTTTCAACAAAATATACTAGAATAATTGAACTTGTACATGCATGAATACACACGCACAAAAAACACCTTTACCTCAAATCTCTCTGTTTTTTTGTTTGTTTGTTTGTTTTTAAGCAGATCATAGACCTAAACAGAAGAGCTAAAAATGTGAAATAACTAGGATAAACACAGAAATTCTTGTGATCTTCTGCAAATTTGGAGATACTAAGAAAGTTAGGGTTAGCAAGATAGAAGAATACAGAGAATGGAAAGAAAAAGATCTCCAGAGATCTGTGAGGTTTCCCTTATGAGAATTCAGTAGAGTAATTATCAGTCATGCATCTGAGGAAACTAAGGCTATGGAAAGAATTAAGGTGATTAAAAGGAAAAGGTTTGGCACTCATATAGACTCACAAACCCCAGAATTCCTGACACATTGGATATAGTACTAAGAAGGGTCTCGCCTTAGTGGTGGTGGAGCGTAATTAGCTCTAGATTAACTAGTTCTCTGGTCCCACTTGACAAATCTTAAAAAGCAATACCCAAAAGGACCAGACAGTTTCCAATTAAATTAACTGCATCATAGAACAAAGCTCTAGGATATTGAGAAAAACACAAAAGTATTCAGTAACAAACAGGTTAAGATTCATGATTTCTGGTATCAGTTATGAAAAATAGCAGGGAAATATCTCCATAATGTGGAGAAAAATCAACCAATCACAAGGAAACCAAAACTGGAACAGATGTTAGAATTAGTGGACAAGAACATTAAAACAATTAAAGTAACTACATTCCATAGTTAAAAAATTGAGGAGACACATGGAAAACATAAAAAGATCCATATCTAACACCTACTGAGGAAATCTTTTAAGGCTGAGAAGAATAATACACTAGCTAGAATTAATGACACATTAGATGTGGAAGAAGAAAAGATTTATGAACTTAAGGATGTACCAGTAGTAACCATGCAAGATGAAGTATATAAAGAAAAGAAGAAAAACAATCCAGAAAACATCAATGATCTGGGGGATTGCAAGTGATTTTAATATACATATAATTGGAATCCCCATAAGGGTCATAAAGTACATATTTGCAGTAATAATGGTGTAATTTTTCCAAAGTTTATGACAACTCTACCCATAGATCCAAAAAGATTACAAACCCCAAGTATAAACAAGAAGAAAACTACACCAAGAAACATAATAGTTTCTCAGAACAGTTTCGTCACTACAGTATCTAAAGAAAAACATCATTAAGGAGTATTACTAATATTATAAATAACTTTACTCCACAATAGATGAAAACATACAAACTCCTTGAAAGATGCCAACTACTACAGTTCCCTTAAAGAAAAAAATAGAACGTATTATATCTATGACCTTCTATGAATTATATCTAATAATAAAATTGAATTTGTAGTAAAAATATTCTTTTCACAAAGAAAACTTTAGTCTAGATATCTTTACTAGAAATAATTTCAATCTTACAAACTATTCCAGAAAATTTTAAAAGGAGAGATTACTTCCCAACGTATTCTATAAAGCCAACGTTATCTCAGTACCAACATCAGACAAACATTACAATAAAAGGAAACAAGAGACCTAAATTTCTCATGAACCCGTATGTAAAATTTCTAAATAAATTTTCCCTATGTGTGGCAATTTTATGGGCAACCTCTGGAATAAGTATATATTTATGAAAGCAGGTTGAGCCTTTATTATTGAGATGTATCATCATTTGGTTAAGTGAGACAAAAACATGCAATATACTTAATTTTTTTTGTGAATGTTGAGTTTACATTTTTTGAAATATTTTAAATTGTTTAATTTATTAAATAATCCATCTCTGAAAATCTAGGAACATTTTATAATTTATTTCTATAGATATGAATACATTTTTATACATATATATGTCTATCTTTTTTAGGCCTGGTTGCAGTATGCTTGAAATCTGGGATGTGGAAGACCCGTCCAATGCAGCTAACCCTCCCTTATGTAGCATCTTGCTCAAGGATGCAAGGCCTCATTTCACCACAGTATTTCAGAATAGTATGTACAGAGTGTTGAAGGTTAATTGAGATTGAGACTATCAATTATATGGTGGTGCAATGAAGTGTGTCAAAACAATCACATTTTGGCTTATTTACAGTAATAAAAATCACAAGCTTTAATAAGGGATGCTTAAAAATAAGAAAATAAAAATGATTTAAAGGTTTTCCAATTACTAAAGGTAGATTACTTGTTTTTTATTGACCGTCAGCCTTAGAAAACTTATTAAATCATTCCATACTGCATAAACAAAAGCCCATCTTAGAATTTTAAAGAAAAATGTATGTAAAAGAACAATGAATTTAAGAAATCAAGAGTAAGATTTTATTTTTTAATCCAGCGAGGTGATTGCTTCAGATTTTCCGTAGTACCAGGGTGTACCAGCTCAAACTCTCTACACCACTTAGAGCAGAATAATGTAGGCTCTGAAATGACACTTCTGTAAGAACCTACAGGTGGTCACAAACTTTTTACCTCTGTGAGGAAATTTGTAACCATGTGTCTATTAAGGTGATCTTTTCTTAACTAGCCCTTAGGAAAGGTCTTTAATAGCTTTTGATAACTTTTTCTCATTTCAATTTAAAATATTTTTTAAAATAAAGCTATTTTTTGTAATGTTTTGAATCTCTTGAAATGCATTTATCCAACCAGATAAGTATTTTACACTGATTAATTCTCAGTCTAAGCTCAATAGGTTATTAATCTGCCTTTAGAATCCAGTGGTTTTTCTTTTATAATCCAAGTAAAATTAAAATTGCTATGGTATATAATGAAATTTGGGAGTTAAACATAATCAGAAAAGAAAATCCAGTAAGATTCATCAAATGAGATTTTTAGATCCTAAATCTTGAATGAAGCAAAGGCCTTTTCATCTGGTGGCCTTGTAGCTTATCAGATATAGTCTTTATTTCTATAAGCACCATCTTTGGTAATAACATATTTTTATGCCTCATTTATTTTTGGTTTTGGATGAGGAAAGTCATTTTTTATAAATCCTCTTCTTCAATACTGCTTGCCCAACAATAATGCTTTGAAGAGTGGTAAAAAGAGGTAAATATCTTTCTTGAAGATACTGTTGCCAACTGCAAAGATAAACAATCTTTTCCGCTATTTGATAGATACTAAATATGCCAGATCTATAGTATCTAATATGCATTAACTTTAAATAGTCATCTTGGAGTTTTTTATAACTCCCTTCTATGTATTTTTGGCCCTTTATACTTGAGATAACAAGATGACTTAATTCCATAGATTAGTTCACTTATAGTGAAAAAAATATATAATTATTTTCAACTTATAGTTGTAAATATTTTATTATAATATAAAAAACTAAGAAAGCATTCCACTTTTTATTTTTGCATTTTCAAATAATTTATTTTGGTATAAATGTGAGGTAAAAAAGGAAAAGGCAAAGAAAGAAAATAAACATAACATCTAATATTCATAAAAATTCAAATAATACATTTTAGATGATGTTTCATGAGAAATATTTTAAAGAAGTTGGTAGATTTTTTTTAAAGGAGTTTCCTATTGGTTATGTGAATTTATGTATAGAAGAACCAATACAATTATTTTCAACTTTTATGGTTGTAAATTAATTTGATGCAGGATACAGAACAGCCAAGAAAGCATACTATGTCTTATGTATTTTAGCATTTTAAAACATGTTGTTTCAGTGTAAGAGTGGAGCAAAGACAAAAGAAATGTAACATCTAATGTTGATAAAGTTAAAGTTATACATTTCAATGATGATATCATAGAAAACAAAGAAGTTGGTAGAATTCAACAAAAAATAGACAAGCTGTATTAACTAATTAAATTTTCTGTAAATATGTATTCATAGGGATTCATGTTATTTTCATGTGCTATGTATGTTAAATAATTTAATAGCCTTTGAAGATCCTCTGTGTGTTTTCTGTCTCATCTTTTACCAAGCATACATTTTGAAATTGAAATAGTTTTTTGAATAATATAAATGGAGAAATTGTAGGTTCCCAGATTTGTTAGCCGTGTTTACTTTGGCAGTGATTTTTTCTTACTCATTTTCAAATAGTTCCACCAAGTTTCACACAGAAGGCAATGTCCTGTGATGAAAATGGTGTGAGTTTTATAACAAGATCAATCTAAGTTTGAATCCTGGTTCTTCCATACTAGGTATATTCTATACCATCCATTCAAAACATATTTGTTGAGTACTTACAGTATACCAGGCATAGTGCTTAAGTTTAGTCTTGGTACTTAACTCTGTGAGCTTCAGTTCCTTAACCTGTAAATCAGAACTCACCCTTACCTCTTGGGGAGGGTCATTATGAGCATTAGTGAAATAATGTGTCAAAGTGGCTGGCACATATAGGCACTCCATAAACACTACTTTCTTCTGCTTCCTCTCCCTTAACCTGCTGAATAACCATTTCAGTATTATGTCACAAGGTGATGTTAGCTAATTTCAGAATTCCAAAGGGGTCGTGACCCACAGGTTGAGAACCGCTGTCCTATTGGCTTCTTGCCTGAATAGAGTTTCCTGAGATCCTGTTTCTGATCATTAATTTGAAACCATGGCTAGATGTGAGTGGCACAATAGCTGCCTCGTCCAGTTGTCAGGGGCTGATGCAGGGCTGGAGTGAGCGTGTGTGTTCTACTCCTTTGCAGCTGACAGACACATTCAAAAAAGTTGAGTACTTTTAATTCTAGTAGTAAATGTGTATGTTTATATTTCATGTTTCATAGAAAAGTGAAACATTTCATGTTTCTTTGCCATGTTTTCATGCTTCATATTATGCAAGAAATGCAAACTCATAGAAAATTACTTCTGGAGAAAAACAGGAAATTTGAAAGAACAAACTTTCTCTTAGTCATTTTTCTTCTTGTTTTCTTTTAACATAACTTTAAACTGTTTTATGTTTTGCCTTTCATATAGTAAATATGGAAATATGTTGTTATAGACAACTTTAATGGCTACATAATATCTCATTTTGTGTGTATATCTTAACCACCGTTGAACTATTTCCATTTTGCTATTATGTGTATGTATATATGGAATTCAACAATTCATATCTTAGTCCATTAAGTTTTTTTATTTCAAAATTACTTCCATTGGATAGATTCCATAAAGTTAAATTTCATTAAAGGAATCTGGAAACCCTTAAAGCCTTCAATGCAATTTGCCTCAAGTTACCTTTGCAAAAGGTTTGCATGCACCTCCAACAATTGTTTATGTGTAACAATCCTCCTTTACAGCACTCTCACACTGGCTAGCCTTATTAAAAATATTTTTAACTAATTTTTGAGGTTCAAAATATTATTCATTATTATTTAAATTTGCATGTATTCCATTCTTTGGAGTGTGTACTTCTCTGGAGCTCTGTACATGTTTCTATTCTTTGATTAATCTACTGAGTGTCCTCATAAGGAGTAGGTATAAAGATAAGAGAGAAAAAAAATCTGTATCTGGGCTCGGTGCCTGTGGCTCAAGTGGCTAAGGCGCCAGCCACGTACACCTAAGGTGGCAGGTTCGAATCCAGCCCAGGCCCACCAAACAACAATGATGGCTACAACCAAAAAATAGCCAGGTGTTGTGGTGGGCACCTGTGGTCCCAGCTACTTGGGAGGCAGAGGCAGGAGACTTGCTTGAGCCCAGGAGTTGGAGGTTGCTGTCAGCTGTGATTCCACGGCACTCTACCCAGGGATAGCTTGAGGCTCGGTCTCAAAAAAAAAAAAAAAAGAAAAATCTGTATCTGAAAATAATTTTAACTATGAAAGGACATTTAACTACAAGGACATTTTCAAATGAACAAGTAGACATACAACTTCTTGCACAAAAATCAAACCAAGATGGGTCAAGTACTTAAAAGAAACTGGTTGAACTTTAAAACTTTTGCAAGAAAATAGGGAAATGCGAGTTAAAACCACATGGAAAAATTCACAAGTCTGATAATAAGAATTGATGAAGAGAGGGAGCAAAAAGAACTCTGATGAAATTACATTAGGAGTATAAATTAGTACAGCCACTTAGGAAAATAATACCTAATAAATGTTAAGGCATTTAGTCCTGACAGCGAACAATTGCACCCTAAAGAAATGTTTGTACAAATATACCAGAGACACCAATTACAAGAAGGTTCAAGAAAGTATTATTTGTATCTGAAAAAAAAAAGCTGAAAACACAAAGAGGCAACATAACGGATTAAATGAAGTATTTTCATGCAATGGAGGATTGTAATAGAGTGAAAGTGATCTACATTCAGAAGCATCACCTAGGAACTAATCTCAAATATAAAATTAAGGATAAAAAACTAAGTGCTCAAGGTGCGTATGTATGTATGTAAATAGATATACCATTTATATATGGCCTAAACACAAAGCAATTTTTTTTTTTGAGATGGTCTCAAGCTGTTGCCCTGGGTAGAGTGCTCTGGCATCACAGCTCACAGCAACTTCAAACTCTTGGGCTTAAGCGATTCTCTTGCCTCAACCTCCCAAGTAGCTGGGATGACAAGCACCTGCCACAATGTCTGGCTATTTTTGTTGTTGTTGTTGAGTTGTCATTGTTTTAGCTGGCCCAGGCTGGGTTCGAACCCACCAGCCCTGGTATATGTGGCTGGTGCCCTACCAACTGAGCTATAAGTGCCTCCCACAAAACAATTTTTTTTTATAGGAGACAAAGTGGCAAAACAATGAAATCATAGGCATAATTATTTCAAAACAGGCTGGTGATCACTTCCAGGAGAGAATGTAATACAGGAGAGGCCCTGGGTGCTTCAATATTACTATTTTATTTTTTAACTTGGTGGTAAGTACATGTATTCATTTTCTAATTCTTTAACATGGACATATACTTTATAATGTTCGATATATTTTATACTTTTCAAAGTAGGGTTTTGATACCCCACATCAGTGGTTTTTAAAACTTCACATTCTCTTTAAATAGCCCTGGGTGCTTAAGCAGCATCAAGAGTTATTCTGATTACTGAGATCCAGCTATTCAAACAAATTTCCAGATTGTAAATTTTATTAAGTTTCCACTTGTACAACATATTACTTTGTTTTTTAAATAGTAGATGCTGTGACTGTGCCTTTATTGAACAAACTGAGTAGAAAGGGTAATTATTTGATTATTTTGTATTGTATTTTCTTATTTAAATTTCTTCTTTGAAAGTAACTCATGTTAATTAAGGGAAAGTTGGAAAATTCATATGAACTTTCAGAAGTAGTGGAGGACCTTTTTAAATTCTCAGATTGTGGTTCACAGC